ACCTACTGCACATAGGATGGATAATTATAATTAACTATCAATTTATATATTTCGAAAAAAATCAATTTTTCTATCCGAACTACCAAATAGAAACTGCATGATAGCTACCTGACAAATAAACAGACTGACAGTCAATCATACATACGTGCAAATAGAAAAACAGTTATACATCGTGGAAGTGATTTACTTTGTCATGCCAATTAAAAATGTTTTTTGTTTCCGGTATTTTTGGTATATTTTTCAGTACATCCTTTATTTACAACAGTGGTTACAGGGGTGTAAAATATAGTGCACTAAAAAGTGAACTATTCTAGGTCATGATCTAATTTTATTAAATACTATATAAAAAACGAACGAATATAATACAATATAGTGTAAAAAGGAATCCTTTTACTTGCTGTGAGGAGTGGTTATTGAGACCTGTTTATATATTAGTACTTCTATTAAATGCAAATAGATATTGGGTGTTTATAGAGAAGTAAATTTTTTAAACATTTTTTTCTATTATGTATGTTAAGGTCCACTCTATTTGTTTACCTTAATTGAGAGCAATAAACGTTTTTTATATATATATTATTTATAATGTGTAAAAATAAAACCAAAAAATTGAGAACTTGAACTTCACGATATAAACAAATGTTAAAATGTTAGTTCAAAGCCAATCAGAGACCAAGTGGTTGGTCCCACAACAAACTGCATGTCATCGTGAACATCATGAACCTTCAATTATCACGTGCTCCTATAAGTTATTTTTGAAGTTATAATTAATTTCGAAAGTTTTTTTTTCAATTGTTTCTTATTTTGGCTCGTGCCTGAGGTTTTTTATCAAAAGCTGGTTTTCTCAAAATATTTCATGAAACAAAAATTGAGCCACCTGCTAAAATATTAAGTCGAAAAAATCAAATATTAAAGAAATTTATAAAAATTAATTAAAAATACAATCAATGTCTTGAATTATGATTTGTTTTTAAATAAACATTTATTTAAGGAATGTGTATTCGTATTTACCTCTCCAATATTATATACGATTGTTCCTCATACCACATGTAATAACCACTTTAAATTGTTTTGTCAAATATTTTAACAATATGTGAAAATTGATAATAATGAACACAAAAGCTCGCCAAAAATGTTAATTAATTTGATAATTGACACTGGTATAAGTCTTTAAATTATCTTTAAATTATATACTTTTAACCCTTTACTGGTAGTCACTTCTTTGAATTTTCAATTCTTATTCGAAGTTATGAAAAACTTCCTCATCAAACCATTTATTGTTTTAAAAGTATGGGATGGGGCTCGTGAAATCTCTTCCATTTTAATCGGTTGTGTGTTCCTTTTCTTATTACGTTCATCATTTTCCACTTCTTCTAGTACTCCTTAAAACACTATCTTTAGATGTCTGCCTTGGACGCCAAATAGATCTTACATCTTCAGGATTTACTTATCGAATCCGTTCGGAAGCTCTATTTACTTTTGCCGGAAAAATTTTAGTTGGAAACACCCAACTATACTTATTGGGGGTAAATTTTTAATAGTTTGCTTTCTATATGATAGCTTCTCCAAATATTTTCTGAGGACTTATTTCCACCGCTATTGATTTGTTAAGTTTTTTCCTCAGCACAATCGAATTATTTTTATGACTGTGTAAAGAATATCGAACTTAGTTTTCTTCCTTATATCAGTTAAATAAAAGTGTGTATTTATCATATTTCTAGCTTTTGCAACGTCTCTAGATATAAAAAGAGAGTGGATTTATTTTAGGATAACATTGCATTATTTTGATTCTTCTTAGTACTCTACACAATCACCTATTTTAAAATTTTACAATACAGAATACTACAGCTCCTTGAGATATTCCGTAATACGATTTTAATAACCTTAACAGTGGTATACTCAAAAGCGGTTATTAGGGTTCAAAATCCACTAAAATATTTCAAATCCTTTACTACTAGATATAATGGACTTTTTTCCATAATATTTTTTTTTTGAATTTTGATTTGTTTTTAAAAAGCTTAAAAATGAGTATCTGAATACGTTCCTGATTTTCAAAAGTATCAACTCATCTTAGGATTTTTAATTAATTTCAAGTTCTATTCTCAAACTAATAGGTTCTTATTCCAGAACATAATTACACGTATTTTTAGGTTTACTATTAAAATCCCAATTTATATTATGTTTTATTTGGTAATTTAAAAAAATGTTAATGTTTATTGAAATGTGAGGAACAATATTTTATCATTCTCTTGTAATATAATTTTTGGAAATATTTTTGAGTGAAAATGTACTTCAAACTATAACAGGTTTAACTGTTCTAACATATAAACCGTGTCATGCATGGTAACGATAGCCAACAAAGCTTCATCGTATTAAAATGGAAGGTTTAAAAGCGCAAATGAATGCTAGAAACACTGGTCCGACTAATGGACCAGCAATATTGACTTCTACTTGTATATAAAAAGTTATATATATCGTTGATACTGAATATCAACTTGTCTATATTGTTTCTCTGATATATGCCAAACAAAACTACCATTTAAGATATCATTGATCTAGAGATATGATAGTACCGCACATAAAAATTACAAAGGTAGAATACAAACCACCAATTCTGGCGCTATATGTTTACTAATTGATGATATGGACGTGGTAGATATGTGGGTTTAACAAAACTCTACTTTAACCTATACAACACTCTTTAGATTTTGCTGCGTGAAAAATTTAACGGATGTGTAAGTATATATTTTGGCGATATAAATTAGCCATCAATGATGTTTATTGAACAAATAACTTTTTTGTAAGTTTAAACGATTGATCGTGATCAGGAGAACAATCTTGAAATCATATCGTTTTGAAAACAAACGTATACAAAGTAATTGTGAAACTATTCCTAACTATATACCTACAAATAATCGAAAATTAGTTCACAGTGATCCAGTACTGTAAAATCTCCCAAGTAAGATATTTGACTAGTGCATTTGAAGCTAAAAAATATAAATATCAAAATCTTAATCACAATAATGTTCTAATTACCTTTATTTTTGGAAATATGAAATGAATAACCCAGTAAAATCGGTTCATCAAAGCTATTTCGCAAACTAAATTCTATATAATAATTTGAATCGCACGCTACATCGGTCATAAAAGTCCGAAGTGTGTACATAAAAGTTGAAATAAAATAAATAAATAAAATAACTAATAAAATAAAATAAAGTTAAAATAAACTCAAATAGATTAGATATTCTATATAAACAATCTAAAAACGATTTGAAAGTTAATTACTTACCTATTGAGATTCTACGACTACAAGGTGAAATTATCCTAAAAAATATTATCATTGCACTTATATCAAAAATTAAAAAGTCTTAGTTTAAATAAAAAAAAATTCCCAATTTAAAAATAGTTAGCAATATTTAAACATATGTTTAAATTTATCCTATAAACATACATAGAACCATATTTTTAAATTTATCCTATATTATTAAACATTTTTTTTTTAATTTTTCCCTTCATTATTAGATATTATATCTGACTTTTTGGTGCTTGGTAATTCATTTAACTTACAAGGAAAAGTTATTATCAAAACAATATTCAATAATTATATACATATACTTATGATTACATAGTAGATTAGTTTTATGAATATTAACTGATTTATAAATTAACTTTAAAAAATCGCAAGTAAAGATAAATTACATACATATATATCTTTGTACTGAAAAGATATTTTGGTTTAGAGTTGCCAGCATAAAAAATCAATGTTTACTTATTGATATTGATACATGATCGAATCGGTAACGATTCCGGTCCGAAAAAATTTAAAATCATTATTTTCAAAATAGTGATTTCGGTTATTATAATTATATTGTAGTTATAGACTTCATTATGAGTTTTATTTTTTCATATAAGTTTTTTTTTCTATTTTTTATTTATTTTTTTATTCAAGCTGGTGTCAACTAGCACCTTCACTAACCTAAGTTCAGGCTAATAGGCTAATTGGTATAGGTTAATTTGGTAACCATCTTATTTGTTTATAACTGTGTGTAGTTACTCAGCAAGTTTCTCTTTTAGATGGATCGAAACAGAAAGCCTTGATCTCTTTGAGCGCCAGTGTTGATCGCGTCCCCTCTAGGCATTACTTTCTTCTTAAAGCTTATAATAATTTTAGTATATAAATATATTATTAATAAATAAAATTAACTTTAATAATAATTACAACTTTAACCGATATATTTATGTACTTTTGCAGTATTTTGTCCTGATTTACTTAAACTGTTATATATTGTTTATTTTAGCTCTTATAGATCAAGTAACTCAAGGATACGATATAAAAATGCAGTATAAACTGAAATAGATTAGATTTTATAAAACTAGTTATTTAAATACAATATATGAACTCTTCGAAAGTTTAAACATTTTGACGTCTAAATATGCATTTGGTTCGAACCCAAATATTTTCGAACACTATATTCCCTTCGAGTAATTCTGTTATGTATTATAACAGGTTTACTATTCGATTAACTGAAAGATCAAATGCAACATTTTGGTATATTTAAAGCGTTCGATCCAAATGTTAGAATTCGATTATACTTGAACGGGTTGAGTGGAATACTCCGAAGCAGTACGGACTATATATTTTAAGTAAACTAAATTATTTTTATATATAACCAATATAATTCGGTTAACGTTAATATTTTAATCTACATAAATAAAATTATCTTGAATTGCAATTAAAACTTGTCAGTCATAAAAAAATTATGAAAATTAATGTCATTATTTATTATTGAACGTTAAAAGGATTTGTCATTAATTGGAAATTTTATACAAGATTTTATGTTTCTGAAATTTTATTTTGTTAATTACTTATTTATTCTAAATTACAGCTAAATCACAATAATTATTTGTTAAAAAATTAATAGTTTTTACTTCTTAGACTAGCTTACGGCGATATTGAAATTCGGAGTATTATTTTTTATTGTCAAAACTTTTATTCAGCAGGGGTTGAATTATTTTGCTTTGGGGTCTCTGTGGGATTATTCCATGGTTGCACGCTTGTTCTGCCGAAAATTATGAACAATAAATTTCCAATTAAGTAAAAAAATGCAGCAATAAAAAATATAATACGCCACTGTTCAGCACTTTTCTAAAATAAAAAAATTATTAAAATTTCACTCCTAATATAATTTAATTATTTCACCTCATTTGTAACAATAAAACCAACGACTAGTGGTGCCTTTAAACTAACAATATTGGATATACAATTGGTGATGCCCATTAATACACCAGCATAGTTAGGCGATAAATCGATGTGATTAACCTGATAGCCCAGATATGTAGCCGAATTAATGCCCACAGTGATTGTTAATAGAAAAATTGCTAATCCAAGTTTGTCAGGTCCTACGTATCCAAATGCTACTAAGGATATCATTGGTATCCAGTGACCAATTGTGTTAAACAATTTACGACTCACAGATCTCTTCAAGTATTTCTTTTTATTTAACAGTGCAGAAATGCTAGAGAACACAAAGCTTAGCAGCAACATGACTGTGTAAGGTAAAGCAGATAACAGCGCATTACTCTTGATGTCCATACCGAGTATATTTTTCATATACGAAGGTATTTGAGTCAACAAAGTCCAGAAACCCCAATTTTGCGTACTGTGCACTAATATCAACACTAAAAACGGCACTGATGTGAAAAATTTAGCCCATGGTATCTTTGTAGGCTTAGCGTTTTCTTTAGAATTGCTATCCGCATCTAATGATGTTTGAATGAATTTTTTTTCCTCTACAGATATAGACTCGTACTCGCTTGGTGAATTTGCACCCCATACTTTCCATGCAACAACCCATAATATGCCAATACCACCAGATACATAAAATATACTTGGCCAACCCAAAAATGATGAAGCTAGATAACCACTAATAGCCAACATCACTACTGTACCGAATTGTGTGCCTGAATAACAATATGTGCTTAATTGTCCACGCTCCTCGGGTGGTGACCATTTTGAGAGAATTGTATGAACTGAAGGATACACTACTCCTTGACTTAGTCCTTGCAGAACACGCATAAAAAATAAAAGCTGCCAATTACCAATATGAGTGATCAAAGGTGTTAGAACCGTTAATACTGACGCAAGCAACAAACCCCACAGTAGCATTACTTTTGCGCCAAATTTCCGTGCTAATTGACCCGCTGGTATCTGTGTACAAATATAGCCCCAAAAGAAGCTACTCAGTAGAAGTGATTTCGTTTTTTCTGACCAATCGTATTCCTAAAAATTTAATATATTGTTTAATAATATTAATTATATCTATTAATTTTATTTAAAGGTTACCATAAAATCAGGATTGGTGGCATTTTTATCCGTCATAGCAACAATTGCTACTGAGAGATTCACACGTAAGGCGTAGCCGACAGACAAAGCGCCAAAGAGTAGAAAGCATTGCAAATGCCTTATCCCAAATCCCGTAGCTTCTGTAAGATATTGAATATATATTTTATTAAAAATATAAAATAATTTAGTATTCTTTATTAATACACTTTTCCAGTTCACTGATATTATTTATATGCAAATTAAACTTAAGCCAATTATGTTAGTTTTACTTTTAGTATTATTTTTAGTAATAGAACTTTACTGTAGTAATTTCAAAAAAAATAATAATTTAAAAATAATTCATAGAATAATTATCTTTTATGAGCAGTTTTTATGCTCAATACATTCCGTGTTTTAAATTACTTTGATTAAAAAAAAACGTACGAAATTAGATTAATTAACTAAACTTAAAAAAATATCAAAATTATATACAATAATTATATATTGTGCTTTATTATTTTTGTGAAACAGAACTTATAGTTTTTGTAAGTATACAGCTGCCTATGATATATATTACTATCTGAAAATCTCTAAAAAAAACGTTCATTGTAGCGAATGGACTGAATTTGGATCCATGGTTGTCAGCACGTTTTCTAATCTTAATCCATCAGTGGACCAAATACATATACTGGGAGTGCTGTGATAAAATGTCTGACCTGTTCGCGTTCTGAATAAGTGAGGGTGTAAGGAAAATCGTTACTTATTACTTTACATTCCATAAGATAGGCATTGATTGCTAAAGTATCTTCATAGCAATTAAAGGCTACATTGGCAACTAAACATACTAAGCTTTGTATTGGTATTGGTATAAAATCATAAAGCTAAATGATTCTTAAGCCAAAATTTAATTAGTTCTTTACCATGAGATAATATGTCCCTATATCTTATTAAATAATTTATTACGATGAATGTTTAGGCTATATTAAGAAAACAGTTGATACAGATATTAATTAATCAACTTTAGAGCGTTTTTCTATAAACTTATGGATTACAACTCAACTCAGTTACTGCTTATGATAGTCTATTTTTATTTAAGATTTTCTACGTACGAGGGCTGTTATATGTATTTCTGGCCTAGGCAACACTAAGTGTTGCCAGATGCAATCTGACATCTCCATTGGAAAGGTTGACATTTTTTAGCATAACATCACTCAGAACGTGTTGTCATTTAATAGTAAATTGATTTATTTACGGAGACTTGAAGAATTCATCTACGCCAAAATATGGAATTAGCACGTGAACATTTTCGTGCGATCATTTTTCACAACGACAAGAATGCATTGATGAACTTAAATCTTTGTATGGCGATGAAGCACCATCCCATAGCACTGTGAAAAACTGCTTTAATGAATTCAATCGTGGCCGACGCTCGCTCAACGACGAATTTGGTGAAGGTCGTCCAAAAACTGCCGTTGTCCCAGAGAACATTGTTGTCGTGCGTGAACTGATAATGCAAGATCGTCATGTGACATACCGTGAGATAGAGGCATCCTTGGGCATTTTTCACACCAGCATACATTCGATATTGCATGAACACCTAGCCGTAAAAAAGGTGTGGTTTCGTTGGATCCCACACAATTTGACAATCGCTCAAAAAAAGGCTCGTGTCGCTTGATGCAAAAAAATGTCGCGGTGCTTCAAAAGACGTTTATAAGACCATCACAGGTGACGAATCATGGATCTATGCGTATGAGCCCCAAACAAAACAACAATAGACCATGTGGGTCTTCGAAGACGAGCCAAATCCAACGAAAGTTGTTCGTGGAAGAAGCACTTCGAAGCAAATAGTCGCCTATTTCTTCGGCAAAACTGGTCAAGTGGCAACGAAAGACGGTCACTTCTGAGTGGTACACCACAATTTGTTTGTCTAAAGTCTTCGGAGAAATTCGAAAAACGAACAAGAGAAGACGAATCATTGTTCACTATGACAACGCGAGATCTCACACATCGGCTCAAACTAGTGCCTTTTTGACCGGCCAAAACGTCGAGTTGATGGGTCATCCGCCGTACATCCGCCGTATTTTACACTACTGGATCCATTTGGGGTAATTAACCCATTTGTCCACATTTCCCTATATTTTAACAGACGTACGTTTTAAAATTGTTGAGAATTTAAGAATTAACCGTACGCAATGTTTCATTGTCCTAATCGGGTGCTAATCGAATCTTTGCATTTAAATTTAATTGCTTCTCGATTCTTCTCGATCGTTTAATACTGTTTTCCAGTTGTTCAGTTGATTTCTCTTTGGGATCATATTTGAATTTTTTGTCGTATTTTTCATTAATTAATAATATATCTACCAATAACATTGATGGAGACTTTTTTTGAGCATGGAAATTCATGATTGACATATGATTGAGAGCATGGAAACTATTTAGAAGTTTAGTTTTATTGTGTGTATACTTAAAGTTAGAATAACTTTTATAAAGCGTTTCTAAATAGTATTTTGATCAGTAAAAGCATATATCATTTTTAGGCATTGAGATAAGTCCATTTACGTGTAATAAATGTACCCGAACTTTAAAATCATTTATCTTGATGCAATGCGTTATGCCATCTATGTTAAATTCATAAGTCGTGGTATGTAAAAATTCTTCAATTCTTTTCATAGCATATCCCTTTAAGTTGAAAAACATATACTCGACCCTGTTTTTCATTTTAAAATAATGTGCCTTGAGTTCTAGCCAATAAGCACAATATTCGATTTTGATAATCTCTATATACTATATTCACCAGAATACCTACATAGAAAAAAGTTTAATTTCAATGATCTATAAGTACATGTTTTATGTAAATTATGTATGTTACATATAAATTGCATATGTTACATATAAATTATATATGTACACATAAATTATATATTTTCTTTAACTGTTCCATGTTGTTTGGGGTTTTTATATATACAGCAACCCGGGAATGTTGGTGCATATTTATGAATAAATTTTTTGATGTTGAAATAACGGTTTAATTCAACAAATAAGTGATCAACACTATTCATGATTCATGATATTCATGATAACACTTAGCAATTTACCAAATTTACCACTTAGCAATGATTGTCTTAGCAATTTACCAAATAGCCTCATGCAAACTATTTCTATATATTCCACATATTTTCTAGTACAATATAATTGGTATCAAAGAATAAAACATAACTTTAAAGATAAGTAAATTAAGTATAAAAAGAGGTTTTTCGAACAGTAGTGAACTATAACAACATAAATTCATTTTATATTATTTTAATTAATTGAATTTTTTGCTGACTATACAGCTGTTTCGAGTATTGCCAAATACCCATCATCAGTGATCTTGGAAATAATTTTTGTATTTAATTATTCGTAAGTAATTTATTAACACTGGAAGTACCAGGAATCGAACTCGCGTCCTGCCAAATTTGAAGCTCAGAGTCAGCGCTCCTTAACCAACTGACCCAAAAGCCGTACTTGACTTCTATGTTCAAACATTTTTCTGGAGTTTTGTTACTTTGCTTTGTTACTTTCAGTATCTGTAGTTACTCTTAAGTAATATTAATAAATTATTTTTCATTAGCTGTTTAAAGATGTCATCAAAGAGGAATGTCATTTTTTCTTTTAAGAAACAGTTGCGATATTCCAATACTTTAGTTAGAAAACAGCTTTATTCCCAATAATGTTTTTTTTTCATTTATTTAATTATAAAAATCAAAGAAAAGAATTTTTAATGAAACCTATGCTTTTTCTATTTGTGGCAGAAAACAGACCTCGGGGGTCATTGTCGCATATTAAGAAACACTTCAGTTATTTAAAGTTGTCTAGGTATTAGCAATTTGTGACTCTTATTTACTTTACTTTAAATCTCTTTCAATTCTTTATTTATTTATTATTTTTTATTGGTATTGTTGGGTTTGATAAAGCACCTTATTTATTTTTACGAGCTATAACAACCGGTCGACTCACAAATCTACTTAACCACTCCGTTAACTTTTTTGTGTCGAAGAATATTAAAAATTATACAAATATTTATTGGCTGATATTGCAAATTATATTAATGGATTTTTCATATTTTTGTCATTATTTAATTATTAAATAATTGAATTCACATAGTTTACACGCTTACAAACCTGTGTGAGATGGAGGTTTCACTTTTTGTTTTTCATTTGCCGTGATTTCATTCAATGTAAATGAGCCTCTGGCTCCCAAAATTGAGAAAAACTTCATTCCGTCGACGTCACTTAATTTTTTAATAAATTTATAATAATTATTATGATTTAAAGTGTTTTAAAAAGGCACTAAAATATGATTGCTATTCATTCAGATACTAATAAATGCCAACCGTTTTTATATAATTTTATAACTACACGTAATTAATTTAACAACTCATTATGAACAAATCTTATAGTTTTATGGGATGGCAATGGGTGAACTGTTCGGCACGAAGATGTTAACGTAACTGAATTTTATGTTAGCGGTATTTTAAAATTCGAGACATCCACGGTGCCTATGATCACGGTTCGTTGCTGATGTGAACCCCAAACTTTTTTTCAGCATCTATTGATTCAACTATAGTTTCTTACGCGTAAACCTAATGATAAAATCAATTTTATAGCAATTCTCATTTTTCTATTTCTATTTCTATTTGACTTCGACTTTGAATCGAGCAAAAGATAGTTGAGAGTAGATATGATAGCTATATATTTCTTGCATTTATAATTTTTGATTTATACGTACCTGTTGGGTAGATCGCTACTTAACAGTTGGAAGTATAGCAAGTCATTTTCGTTTTTGTTAGAAACAAAAAAAAAAAATAAATAAATAATGTATCTCAAGTAGAACCTGCTGGCTCTTTTGTGAAATAAAATAGTGGTAAATTATTTGATATATAAAGAGTTTAATTTAACAATTGAAACTTTAGACTAAAATAAGAAAAATGTCATCGATTTAAAACAATATGAATAAACAGAAAAATATTTATTAAAGCACGTAAGTTTTCATCGCATTGTTCACTATTTAATTTTAGTGAATTTGAATTAATTTTCAATAAAAAGCAAATAATTAATCAAATATTTTTGTTCATTTGTAAGCTCCAAACATCGATTTTATGTGAAATTTCACGTGCCACATTTGAAAAAAATTCACAAATGCAAATACCTACATTTCTCGACTTTGTTGCATTCAAATTATTAATATTTATAAGTTTTAACAGAAAAAAGCAGTTATATAATTTAATAAAAAATGAGTTACCTGTTGAGGTTCGCACATTGTTAGGGCCAACAGACGAGTCGGTATATTGAAAACTGTTAGAGACTGATAGAGACCGAAACTTGTCCAATCGGTTACTCGATTAACACACAAAGCTTCAGGTTGCAGATGTGAAAACACGTTTAAATCAGTCGATAATGAATTGCACTGAACACTGCGGCATTGCTTAGAAAAATTATGAAGTCAAAGCCAAACAATTTATTTTGAATCCATATTTAAGTAATTAAATTGTTATTTGTTTTGCCGTGTTCTCAAAATGCTATAAATTATGAAAATTGTACTGTTAAATAATTTCAAACAATTTCAAAAAATTTCATTAATTTATCATAACTCGATTTTTATTTACAACAAAATATGTGCCCGTGTTTTACTACGAGTTTCCTTAACTCTGAAATTTATTATAACGACTCAATCTACATACTAACTATGTATAAAAGTGAATTTCTTTCACTAAGAGTCATTCTTACATTACACGCTCTATGAAATCCACTCTTTCGTGTTCACCGGATAGTCTCTTATCGGTCCGATTGACTACTCCATAATCATCTAATCGATTTGCTTCAGTGTTTGTTTACTTAAGTTCACCAGAAAGTTGTTTTTGTGAAATTAATTTTACAGGGCTAAAATTATATAGACTTTGTGCCAAAATTAATAACATTCAATTGATAGGTTTCCAATCGATCGTTGTCCAGAAACTATATTTGTAAAAACTAATGGTTGCTGTTTAAAAGTTCATCACCTCCAACCGCTATTCAGAAATGAAAATCTCAATGCTAAAAGCAGGAAACTGCTATAATACCAAATAATTCGTCCGTCACTTATATATGGTTGTGTAGCGTTTAGCAAAGCTTCAAACACTACTATTCACCAGCTAGAAATTGCACAAAGCCAGGCTCTGAGAAGACTTTTCAAAGTGCCATGGTACATTAGGACGAATGACATCCTGAGGGACATTAAGATTGATCCCATCAAAAAATACATGAAGCATAGAGCCCTGAAATTATTTTCGAAAACTGACAGACTTACCAACACCGCGTTATCAAATCTCAGAGTGGTTACAGGCTCCTCGGGGAGGTATGCAGATCTGAGGTCAATTATTGCTTAGTCTGATGAAGTGATAAACAATAATCCAGTCAAGGATTATGAGCAACTTCTGCCTAATCTGTAAAAGTTGTCAAAACTGTAAAAGTTCCAACTGTTAATGGTACAAATTTTACTAGTATTCTCCTGTGTTTAACTGTTTAGATAATAAAGGAAGTTACCCATTCTAATTCGTATGTCCTTAATTGAAATTTATTAACATGGCAATGCAAATATATATTATATATTTACTCAGTTAATATTAAGTAAATTGATAGATACCCGGCCTAAGTAATAAAAACCTCCTTTTTTTTGGAAAATTGTATTATATGCTTCAATATAGTCTTCCTTTAGCTCGATACACAGAGTCCAACAAACTTTCAACAGTTGGATTACGTTTTAAATAACACGATTTACCAAGTCCTCTAAAATATACCTCAGTTTTCCATTCCACTTCATCATTTGATGCAAATCTCTTTTTAATAGTCACTGGAAGACAAATCTGGAAAATACTGTGAAAGCATACGGTGAGGAAGCAATTCGTACCGTAATTCATTTAATTTTGCTATGGTTTGCATAGACGTGTGAGCGGATGCATTATCCTCCAAAAATAACATTTTTTTCTTTAACAAGTGTGGCAGTTTTTTCTTGCTTTCCTTATTCAATCAATCCAATAATATGAATCCCAAAATACAGAAGCCAACACTTTTCTAGCAGATTGCTGAGTTCGTTGTCGTTTGGGAGCACTACCGCCGGCTTTATTATCGAATAATTATATTAATTGCATATATTACCTAAATAAAATTTGATATAGCATAATTATATTTTCTAATATATCTACTGTAAAGTTTAATTTTGGAGCAAACATTCATAAATAAAAACTTTTTCATAGAATAAAATAAATTTAAATTATTAGTTTGTGAGACAATTATATCCAAATCTAAGCCGATTAATTGTCTATACTCCTATGTATGTATGTACTTCCCTATATTATAAGAGATTTATATTAGCCTCATATTGTAAAATACATCATGTTTAGATTTTGTTTTGTATTTTCATTATTGAGTGCATAAATTTAAAATTAAATTCAGTTTGGTGTTTAAGTTATCCATGGATATTCATTATCTTTTATAGCATATACCAAAATTATAAATTAAAGACGAAAAATTAAGATATTTAAAACCAAAACGTGGATATATGGAGGACCAGAATGTGTGAACGATTTATTCACGTGAAAAACAGTACTACTAGATATAAAACAAACCTCACCACTATGAAACGATTGGAACTGTTAAAAGCAATTAAGAAATATCTTCTATATTTTACAAGAGAAAAGGAATGAGATAAATCAATATCATTGTGTGCTTTCGCATACCAAACTTTTCCCCATATATATAGTATACTGGCTATACTCGACATGAACTAGTGTTTGACAAACCACTAAACAGGAAAACTTAATTTAAACTACTATGCAAATTACAAAGTAAAAAGAATAGTAATGCAATGTATCAGTAAAATCTCATGATAGAAAAAAAGCACAAGTCCATAAAAAGTTTTCTTCGGAATGATGAGTACAGAAAGTACCAATATAATTATAAATGCTGTTAAAAACACAATGTCATACATAAAATAACATAAAATTATTTAATGTGTAACAATTCATAAATATTCACTATTCATAACTATTATTATTTAGAAACTATTGTTATTGTATTATTAATAACAATTATTGTTAATTATATACGATCTATTACAAGCATTACTATTCAATTATCATTACTAGCGTCACAATTAATATAATTATGAGTCTAATTGATGTTGTGCTTTTTTATAAACAGTTAATATCACCCTATGCACAAATTAAAAACTTAATCATATTATTTTATCATTATATAGAAGAAACTCTCTAAGAATTTCTTAAACTAATGCAATTTATTAAACAAAACTAAATAAAAAAAAAACAAAAAAAAATATATACATACATATGTATATAGTAATGTAATTTCATATACTATCATGCAACAAGTATAAATTATTTATTTAATTACAATTAAATAAAAATATTCAAAACATTGTACACTCAGACATACATACCAAAAACTAAATAAATTTTTCATAAACAAAAAGGTTTTTTTTGGCTGAAGAATAGGGTCGTAGTTAATATTGGCATAAGACCTATAGCGTCACACATTTCACAAAATACCTTAATGATATACATATATCTTCGAGCAACATGAAAAACCATTCTTGTTCTACGGTTCGGAACGAACTCAATTTATTATATTTACGTTTATATAGAATAGTGATCTTAACTCTATCTTAATTCTACACTAAGAAAATGAGATTGAATGGGAGAATATTATGTCATAAGTGCTATATAAATATTATTACGATAATACTGATCTAAAATAGTTAAAATAAAAATAGTACATTATTCCAAGCAATATGACCCTTTATAAGAACTTTTATATATATTTAATATATTTTCACATATTTTTATTTTTCTATTTACGAGTATCATAAGTCAGTTATAACACTTCGATTTATAAGTCTGTACCTTTTTCGCAAAATTCAAATATATTTATCAACAAGAGCAATAGCAATACTATCATTCCAGCGCTCCTCTACTATTTCAATACCTCCCTTGTAAAACGATTTACCTTTGACCTGGAAATACGCCTCAATTTTGGCGATGATTTTTTTCTTAGAACAATTTTTTGAGGTTTGTGAACAGACAGCAATCGATGGAGGCTAAATTTGGTGAATGCGGTGGATGCAATTTGAAGTGTATTTGATTTTCGTGCAATTTGGCCATGGTAGCTAAGGACTTGTGACAAGTCCTAGTTACATACTGAAGCAAAAAGTTCTCCTCAGTTCACTTCAAGAGGTACACAGATGTCTCAGAATCATGGACACGTTGTTTTCCTTTTGGTCAGCCGTCAAAAATTTTGTAGGCTTTTTTGATGTATTTTGATGTCTCCACCTCTTTTGGGCCACCAACGCGTTTTCATCATCGGCGTTTTAGTTATCCGGGTTACACTTATCAAGCCAAGTTTTTGCTGTTACGTTTTTTTTTTCTGCCATCAAAAAGCAATTATAAATCAAGACACGAAATTGCTTTGAGTCTATTGTTTTGAATATATAAAAAGTAGCGTCACTAAAACTGCTGTAACATAGCTCAATGAGTAATCGTTGAAATGTTATAAAATTTTGACAGGCACCATTTGAAAGTTATCACTTCGTCGTTATCGTATCACCTGATGTGTTTAAATCTATTCTGTACATACATGCAATTAACCAATTAGACATAAGCAATTTAATTGGTAACCCATAACACTAGTACATAAGATTTAATTGTAATTTAGTATTCGGTTGTAAGAAATTTTTCCAAAACAAAGACAGTCTATCTATATTGTTCACTTAAGAAAGTTCAGTGTTCAACTTTTTTTTTTTCGAGTAGAAAAATTATATTACATTACCAGCACTATTTTTAAAAACATTTGTGTAGCCACTACTAGCAAAGGAAACACAAATACTCTCACAGGTCAAAGGTCTAAAAGAACTTTTGAGCGATTATATATTAATTGTTAATAAAACCTATAAGGAGGTACAGCGATTCAATATGTGAAATCAAGATACCATCAAATGTTGAAAACTTACCAATACAACAATCGAAGATCTTGAAGATGATAAGATGCACAGTGGTTGAAAAAAATGCGCGATACGTCTTCCACTACGACTAAACAGAAAGATTCAATTTATACTGTAAATCAGTTAAAACCAGTTATTTTCTTAATAATTTCATTTTTATTTATAGTGATATTTAACTTTTCCAAAGCATTAGCTAAAGAGAAAATAAAATTAGCTTTTAAGATTTGAAGTACTTATTGGAATTAAAGCAATATTAACAATAATGTTCTATTATTTATATTTATATTTATATTTATATTATATTATACAAAATGATTTAAAGTTTTATATTTTTAGTGGGCTATAAGCACAATTTAATCTCAATATAATCTCTCTTAACAAAAAGAGAGAGGAATGTGAATAAAAAGATGTATGATGTCGAGGTGTTACTCACAGAAAGGCGCAATGAGGTCCTCTTATAAGGTATAGGGGCACCACAATCGTCCAACCGTCAGTTAGGCTTGCAATGTTAATTTTGCTAAGGAGCATTAGTATATTTTTTATCGCAAATAAACTTTATAATCAGTTGGAAATTGGTAGATTATTGACGAAACGATTTTATTCTATTATTACTGAAACTTCGTTATTCGAATTATTGCAGGACACAAGTACTTTATTATTATTATTTATTTCTATTTGAGCCAGTGCATTTCAGCACTTTTACTCTTTCTTAACTCGAGGTATTTTTAAAACCCCTCTTTACACCTTGACTGGATTATTGTTTATCACTTCATCATTATCATCTTATTCATTATTAAATGATTAAATTTATTGTAAAAGAAAAAATATTAATTCTATTTATATTCGTATTTATTTCACTTTTTTTAATAGATTTATTCTCAAACTCTTCTCATTGCTTTTCCGACATAATATATGCAATTTTTGAATCGATCAAAAGCCAGAACTAGGGAGCTACTAATACTAAACAGAATCCGACTTGTTTCTCACTGGACATTGCGAAATCAAAAAACATCTATCGAATCTAGGTATTACAAGGGACTTAGTCACGAACAAGAGGAAGCAGCAGAACACACATTGTGTTACTGTGATAGTTTTGCTTATAACGGAAATATGCAACATCACTCCAAGGGACATAATGGCATTTTTAACTACTACGCGCCTATGGAACTGCATAATTCTCACCAGTGACGTGGTGAGTACTATATTTCATTCTATATGCAATTTTTAATAATAATAAATTAACTTTTGCTTTTTTGTTACTATTATGATTACTTTAATAAAAATGTTGATAATTTATATGTTTTTAATATATATAATATATATTTATATACATTGTATGCAAATCACGAATAGTTGTTCGAAAAATAAATCATAATTTTTATGTGCAAAACTGAAACTATTTATTTGGAAAAAATTTTGCTACAATGTATTAAAATTGCTCAAATTTCACACTTCTGTGTTAAATATTAAGAAAAAATAATTCATAAAAACTGAAGATTTATTATATTACGTGCTTATTTAATAATTATATTTGACCTATATATCACCGAATTGCAATTAAATGTAGTAATATTGTATATATATATATATATAAGTGTAAGTGTTAAGTGTTACTTAAGAGTTATTAAATATTTCCGTTAAAATTTAATATAACGGTTACATAGGTATTAGCAAATAATAATCTGTAGAAATTAATATTTTTTATATTTTTTATTCAATATTCAATAGTATTTCAATAATATTTTAATTTATATTATTAATTTTAAATCATCATAGAAAAAACATTTATTTTTATTATGGACTTACATACATTACAAAGATTCTAAAGTTTTGTTGTGTGTTCACTCGGGCCCTGTTGTTGTTGTTGCTCGGTTGATTTAGTAATGGGATCATTCCATGGCTGCACTGTCATCTGGCCAAAAATTATGTAAAGTAAATTTCCAAAAAATAAAATTAATGCAATTGCAATAAAAACGATTCGCCACTGTTCGCGATCACTCTAAATTCGAAATTATTATTTATATATATTTTTAACATTGATTGAATGGAATCATACCTCATCTGTCACAACAAAACTGATGGCTACTGGGGATAAAACGCCCGCAATACTCATTAGCGTGGTTGTAAGACCAAACAGAAATCCAGCGTAATTGGGCGACAAATCGATGTGATTTAAAGAACTACCAATAGCTTGAGCTGAAATAGAAGCCACACAAATCACTAAGCAAATTATGCTGCCAACAACGTTTTCCGCATCCATATAAGCGAGTGCTATAAATGAAACAGCAGGTACCCAGGAGGCAAATGAATTGATAGACTTCCTTATAACAGTAAGACTGACCAGTTCATTGTGTGTCAAAATATCAGCAACTACGAGACACACATACGACATTACGCACATAAAAACGAAAGGAAGTGCCGATAAGAGCGCATTGATCTTAATATCGTAGTTAAAGATGCCATGTAGGTAGGTTGGAATTTGTTGCATCAATGTGTGATAGCTGGTGGCCTGGCTTACTTTACAAATAGCTAACACAATGTAAGGCACAGAAGTGATTATAGCGCAAAATGGTATACTACGTTTTGTTGTACTATGCACTGGAGTCTCTTGTGAGCTCTGTATAAGTTGCAGCTCAGCCTGCGATATAAAAGACGATTTTTCTGGGCTACTAGCGCCAAAGATAATCCACAACAGAGACCAAATAATTCCAATTACACCTTAAAAGAGAAGTTACATTTTTTATAAATATTTTTTTTTGCAGTTTGAACTAACCCGGTACATAAAACATGCTAGGCCAACCTAAAGGTGATGCTGCCAATAAACCACTTGCAGCAAATCCCAATGCAGTTCCAATATCCAAGCCAGTTTGCGCTATGCCGCCCAAACGATTACGTTCTTTTTTAGGACACCATTTCGCTAGATGCGAATACAATGATGGCCACATAACTCCTTGAAAAAGTCCTTGCAGAATGCGTATTACACAAAATAGACGCCAACAAACTTTATCAATTGCAACCGGCAAACACAGCCCTAGCACCGAAGTGCCCAACACACTACATAATAAAAGCAGTTTAGCACCATACCGACTGGAAAGATAGCCTCCCAATAGGTGAGTAAGGGTTGAGCCCCAATAGATGCTGCCCAACATATAAGACTTTTCACGTTCGCTTAGCTCATATTCCTGCAAATTATTTAAATGTAATTGAGTTGCACACTTTTTAAACTGGAACCAAAAAATACTTTACTGGAAAGTCTGGATTTGTGGTGTTGGCATTTGTCATCGCTACAATGCCGACTGATAAACTCACGCGCTGGTGGAATGTCAAGACGGCGCAAGTGAAGAGGAACAGCACCTGCAGGTGCCGCACGCCCATAGGTGGTACTAAAAGTGCACTTATTAAACAATTTTTTTCATCACACTTAAATTTACAATAAAAAACAATGCAACTCATTTGCATTTTAATTTTAATTTTACTAACGTTTTACGATGGTCATTTGTCAGCTGTGATCCGACGCAACTCCAGCAAAAAATCTTCAAACTTCTTCTTTTCTTCTTTTTCGTAAACAAGTTTCGCGCCTAATCAATCATTTTCCTTTGACAAGCTTTCGCGCAACTGCGAATGGGGCCTGCTTGTTTACTACCGTTTGGATTTCAATTAATTTTTGCGAAATTCTTTAACCCACAACGACGCCTTTTACTTTCATCAAATGAATATATTAAAATATCAAAATAAGCATTTTAAACACGTTCGACATAACCCAAGCAATGTAAATAGTTTTTAATATTAATTTATTTATTTATTTTTTTTATAAACTAAAATAACATTTCGTTTACCGTATTTTGTAATATAACGAATATTGCAGTCGCAAAGAAACTCTTCTAATGATCGTATATGAAATTATTGTTGATTCTTGAATGCAATTTATTTGAAATAAAAAATCATGGAAATAATTTATTGATAAAAATAACAATTACAGTAAAAACAAATGTGCATATATTAAATAAATTAAATAATAAGAATGTATTTAGTTATATATGTACATATAACCAAACATATAAGTATATTTGGTATATATATATATATATTGATTAGGTATATATATTAATATCTATGTATGCATTTAGTTAACTAAATATATTCTAAATTCTTATAATTTAATATATGCATAAAGATAATATATGCATAATATATTAATACATCTCTAATATACATACATATATAAATATACATGATATATATTATTGTGTATTATGTTGTAGCTATTTGAGCCAGTGCACTTGACCACTTTTACTCTTTATTAACTCGATATATCTTCAAAACCTCTCTTTACGCCTTGACTGGATTATTATTTATCACTTTATCAGACTAAGCAATAATTGACTATAAATCTGCATACCTCCCCGGGTAGCCTGTAACCATTCTGAGATTCGATAACGCGGTGTTGGTAAATCTGTCAGTTTTCGCAAATAATTTCAGGGCTCTATCCTTTATGTATATATAAACCTATATATATTTATATAAATATACATATATAAATATAAAAATATAAATATACATATATAAACTCAAATATCTTACAAACAAACATTAGGCTTTCGGTGGCTCGCAAGTATGACAAGAAAACAGCAACATTTCGGCCTATACTGGCTGAAATATAAGCAAACAAGCAACACTATTTTTTCTACATCGGCTAGTATAAGTATACTGGGCAACACATCGGCCAGTAAAAAAAGTGTTGTCAATGCAATAAGCGAACTATTGTGAACCTTCATTGGATATTCCAACCAATATTGAAATCATATGTCAAAAATCATATGTAAACAAAAATTCAAACAAAATTCAAAAATTTCATGAATTTGAAAATTGGAAAAAAAAGAAAAATTTCAGTGTTTTATTTTGACATTTCCAACATTTTCATCATTCCTTTTAATTCCGTATTCATTGTAATTTTCAATTTATGTTAATTATTATCGAAAAAGCTTATTACAAAATACGGGTTTCAATTATACGGAACAGTATTTGAATATCTGTAATTATAAAAAATTTTATTGCATATTTCATAGTAACTACAACGAGTAGTTGACTTACAGTGTAAGAGACCCAAAGACATTTAATTTATGTATTGTTGTTTATATTAACACATTAAATAAAAAATAATGCAAATTTCAACTAATATCATGACACGTTTTTAATTTCTAGGATTCTGCTATTCGATGATGGTTTTTGATAACATTAATTATTCTGATCAACTTTTTTAACTATTATTTACGTCAATATAGATAACTTGTTTCTTTAAATATCGGGTTTGGAAGTTCGTTAAGTGGTAGTGTAAATACCTAACTTATATTGTGTATTTATTGTTTATTGAAGTCCGCTGAGATGTGAAGTATGAATATAAGTTGTACCTATAGTCGAACATACTCGTAGTAAAAGTCAACAAAAAAATTATTTGGATTTTATTATATTTCATTCACATATACAAAAACTACTAAATGTTGTTTCGTTTGGCCATTGCTGACGGTCACCATGTAAATGGGTAAACTGGCTTGGGTGAAGTGATGGGGGTTGAATTACCTTCTGCTTTGCTTTTGTTGGCGTAGGGTAATTTAACTAGTTGACCAGGCTGCCATTTGGCCATAGTTGATGAAAGAATGGATGACGAGTCACCAACACTGTTAGAAGGCGTGTGGATCTACGAGCGTTTGGCAATTGCAGACAATCGTGGCCACGTTTCGCATTGGAAAGGGGACTTTTAGCTGACAAGGATTTTATTAAATGGGTAACAACTTTACACTTCCTTAAGAGATGGTTTTTTTTTAAGAGGCTATTTGGAATTTCTCTTGTTACAGATCTCAACGTTTCTAATGATGGCAACCTGCGCACCACTGACATCAATCCTGATTACAACATTTACAACATTCCACAACACAACTTTCCACAACTTTGTATTGTATTGTTTTTTTTTTGTAAACAATCAACGCTGCTATAAACAGAAGTGTCTGTTTATTTCTTTTAAATTAATTTCTTATAACGAACCCTGGTATACTCGCTGAGTATACCCCAGCTATAGAAAGGGCCGGAAAAGGTCGTTACAATGTCAACACAAAGAAATTTTAAATATTTTCTTGAAATTACAAATGCTACCTTGTTCAAAAACCAAAATTTATGTTATTCCAACAAAATAACATAAATAACAACAAAATGTTATTTCGTCCACTTTTGAGAATTTATTAAAAATAAATATAATGAATACATAAACTTATAATGGGGCCCCTAAATCCCTGTAGATACGCCACTGTCATCTGCCTCAAAATAACTTAAAACCGTTGACAATAAGAAAAAAAACAAAGATTTCAATTTTATTGCACAGTCCACAGTTACGATTAAACATTCTTCTTTCAGCATATCGTATACGATTTGTTTTTACAGAAGACCGTATATAATTTGTTTTTACAGAACATCGTATTAATTTATACAGTTTCTGTTAAAATTTACCTGAAATTATGTTATGAGAGATATATTATAATTGTTTCTGTTAAAAGAGGTTTGAAAACAAACCAAAACAATTTTTTTTATTTTTTTGTAAAACAAATACTACATAAACTTATTAAAAATTTGATGATATTTAAGTTTATTTTATTTTATAATTTTTGTTTTTGTAATAAATTTAATAAAATTTATATAAAGGCATGCTAACAATATATTTTTATAAATTTATAATTTTAATACGTGGTTCGAGTAAATTCAATTGTTGTAGCAAATATCTTCTTCTCGTTTTTTATTTCTATTTAGGGCCGATGCTTTCGCCACTTGTTATATGACTAATAATTTTTTTATTCACTGGTTGAGAATCTTGGGTTAATGCGTCTAATTACTTTTGTCACTGTGATAAGTTAAGTGATGATTAACCAAAATTGTAGTAGTGACTATAGGTTGTAATAATTATGACATAATAAATGATTTTAGATATTTAAATTGAGATTTTAAACAAAAGTGTTATTATCTATAATTTCGGCGAAGAATAAATTTATATAATACTATTTAATACTACATTATTATATTATTTTTAAACACTTTCTTAATTATTAATTTTACTTTTTATTTTGTTGATTTTTTTTTTGTAAAATTATTTAATATTATAATTCCTAAAAATATAAAATAAAAGTCAACAAATTATTAAAAAATTAAAGGGTCAAAATTTCATAATATCATCAGGTAACTACAGAAAAGCGGTCAGTTAGTGTCACTTTCATACACGGTTGCCACTTGAAAATTTTTTTCTGTACCAAAATTGGTTTAAAAAGGTACCATTTCTGTAAAAAAAGGTCCAAAATTTTTTTGGACCTTTTTGTTTTCTCGTTCTGTGTTTTTTATAGTGTTATAAATGAACAAAATATAAAATAGTGCAAAGTTGCATTTATAAAAAAAATTAATTGGAAATATCCACAATAAAATTGGGTCGTCTAAAATGTACCAGTTTTTGAAAATGAGTACCAAACGAAAAAAAAAAAAAAAAAAGGACCAATTTTGGTACTAAAGTACCATAAGTGGCAACCGTGCTTTCATACAAACTAACAATTACTTTTATATTTTATAGTGAATCTGTTATTAACCCCAATCACCAATATTCACGAAAGTACAAATCGTATGATATTCAATTCAAACTTATATTTGTCTCTAAAACAACACAGGTCCTTTTATTAAATTTTTAATTTATGGGCATAGACCTTTAGGGGACTCCAATAAGCCTAACCAAAATACTAATTTATATTACAAATGTTACAGATAAATTTTTAGACTTTTACAATTTCCTATTAACATGACGCTCGTCAACTATATACAAAAATATTATTATTCATTTTTTTTACTAAAGTTAATGAGAATTATTAGCAATCACTTGCAATGAATTCTTTATGTGATTTTAACAAAAGTTAATAAGAATTATTAACAACCTCCTACTAAGGTATGCGACAAAAAGATAAGGTCAGTTTGTTTTCTCTTTGTGGAACTCAATTTGAGTGATTAATCCTTGGATCTTGTGGATTTTATTGTTCGATAGAGAGAATGCAACAAATAAATTCTAATATAATGAGTAAACAAAGTCCCGTTAGTTTTAAATATATCAAAAAAGAAAAAAAGCTAAATATTGCTGCGATAAAATGATAAGGTCAGTTGCAATTTTTGCATTGTTTGGTCAAGTGAGTGTTCCGTTTGTATTAAAATTTGATTTATTTTAATAATTAAATTATTAAACAGTTTTTGAAGAGAAAATGGGTCGTGGTAAGAGTCTCACTACTTACGAGAAAGGGTTTATTGGCGGAAAGGTTATTGAAGGAGTTGGAATGAGACAAATCGCCAAAGACCTTGGAAGATCACTGTGCGTTGTACAAAATTATTTGAAGGATCGAGAAAATTATGGAAAAAAAAAGAGTCCTGGTCGAAAAAAAGTACTTTCCGCGACCACAGTGCGCTCCATTGGACGAATTGCCTCAAATTCTACTATAAGTGCAGCAAAAATTAAGGCAGAGCTTAAACTTACTGCATCCAAGAGGACAGTACTCAGAGCCATCAACGGAAATGAATATTTGAAGCGAGCCAAAATGAAAAAAGTTCCTTGCCTCAATCTTAACCACAAAGCGAAGAGGCTTGAATTCGCTAAATTAAACATGTCAACCAATTGGCATCATGTAATTTTATAATAAATAAAACGAAAATAATTTGTAGGTTTTAATGACTGTTTTTTTTTCTTTTAGATGATTTTTTCGGACGAGAAAAAATTCAATCTTGATGGCCCAG